GTGTGGTACCTAAACAAATAGCCGAATAACAAAGTTTTTGTTACGGCTATTGCGAAACCTTGACTTCCATAAGCCCCGCCATAAAAAAATTCAAAATGTTCTGCAAAATGTACCTGAGCAGGTTGTGACAAGTCGGCAACCCCAGGTGCAATAAGGAATTATAGTTGTCAACATTTATTGCAACCCTGCTCGATCCAGGTAACTAGATTTCTCTGAGAAATATCCAAGAAACATATTTAAATTAATTTTAAAATAGACAAAACATCAATTTATCGAGGAGATTTTTTTATTTTATTAATTCTGTTTGCTATTCCATCGCTAGGAACGGATCAGTGTTCTATCATGATATTAAACATCTTAAGAACAGCTCAATTTTAATTTTATTAGATGACATTACCAAAACTAACTAGGTATCCTTGCCAATATATTTTCTCCCATACATCAACTAGCGAACTAATGTTTAATATTCAGGTCTAGTATATAGTATAGCCTGCTAAAAAAAATTAATTCATCAAAGTTGTACTAAATTTTAAAACGAATTCTTAGATATAGATAAATAATTGTATATATTATTGGATTTTTGAGCTATGTAAATTCAATAAAATATTTGATATTTAAGATTACTTATTTAAGATTTTTTGATTCCTCACTATCGGAGGTAGGGAAGCATGAATGTGATTAGAATCAAAAATTTCCATTCGCTTTTTACGTTTCAGACATCAAGGATCGAATTTGGTTCGGCGTCTGTCTGTCTGTAGTCAAATCGATATAGCGGGCATATGCTCTGGAATAATTTATTTTTAATCATGAATCATCAAGTATACAATCTCTTAATACGAAACTCTTTCGCATTTTAGTGTTCGCTGATGAATGAAACTCGCGGATATCAGACCTGTATGTGTTAAGGGATTACTGAATTTCCGAAAACGGCTTCTTTCAGTGATTTTATTCTCATACGAACAATTTTAGGCCTTGTAATATAGATATTTTTTAGACCAAGAATGCGGTGAGGAAGCTATACTGACCTTACTTGGCAGACTTTTTTAGCTGAAAAAGTTCTAGAAATGTAACAATGTTATGAGGCCTGACTTCCCCTGTGTTTGTTTAATCTAAACCAGTATGTTATATATTTAAGTATATATATATATATATATATATATATATATATATATATATATATATATAAGTACTATATATAAGTAAAACAAATAAATAAATAAGAATCCTAACAATTATACAAATACAAAAACAAATAATTTTAAACATTGAATATTATATTTGTTTGTTCCACAATATTTACGTTGAATTTTAACACATAATAAAAGCTACCGCATTTTTCTTTTTTTTTTTTTTTTGTACATCAATGTGGAAATCGGCAAAGTTTATAAACTTTTAAATACCCATTAGCTTTCCAATACCTATTTGGGATCTTATGATAATTTAATCACAAAATCGAGAAAAAATGTGGCCTACAAAAGTGTTGGGCCGTTTCGCCTCCTATAACCTCGTTATTTTGAAATGTTGGGGGTGTAGGTCAGGCCAAACGGTCCAATATTTTTGTAGGCCACCTTGTTTTCGATTTTGTGATCAAATTATCTAAATTATCTTACGATCCAAGTATTTCCGAGTTTTTAGTATCTAATTAAATAGATAAACTTTGCCAATCTTCAGATTGAAACTAATTTACAATTGCAAGAGTTTTCGTAAATAAAATATTTGTAGGTCACGATGAGATAAGCTGGATGGAGGAGATGGAGGGTCTATCGATAGCTACGGTAGAGTGTAGATCGGCTCTGTGATTTTACGTAATTTGAGTGGTGTGAATACATTATTGGATCATTGTATTCGGTATAGTGTTGTATATTAGTATGTTGTAACTGTCTTTTGTTAGAAACAAAGAATAGTGTGAATAACAAGTGATATTTTTCATATTATCAGTACAGTTGAGTTGTCCTGGCTTGAAACAGGAATAGTGCCAGTGCAAGCAGGCAGGCTACGTCACGGGAAGGTTATTTATCTACAGCCAACTCTTTGTAGGCTCATATATATATTTCCCTGATCGTAATTCACCAAAATGAATGGTAATATAAATAATATTATGAAAACAATAAATGAGGACACTATGACACTGCAGACAATAATAATGGAAATCCGCAGGAACAACAATGAAACTAAGAGTATTAAAGAAACGGTAGGAAAAATTAATACTTTACTGGAAAATATTACATCAGAACTAATAAATAAATAAATATATAAAAAACAAAATTGATGAACTCGAAAAGATTAAATGCCAATTAGAAGAAATGGTAAAGAATATAAAGAAAACAAGCAGAAAAAATAATATAATATTATTTAATTTACCTGAAAAAGAAGATAATAATAAAGTAAAAACAATATTATCAGGTATGGACATATGGCTATTAGATGGTTTGATAAACAACTCCTACAGATTAGGAAAAAATAGATATAGGAAACCCAGGCCTATTCTAATTTCTCTTAACAGTTACATAATGAAGGAAACAATAACGAAAAAGAGAGACTTATTTAGAGAAAAAAAGGTCCCTATAGCACATGACAAACCACCCGAGAAAAGAGAGGAGGGAAAACAAATATATTTATACCTTAACAGATTGCGAACCTTCAACAGTACTGTAACTTATAAAAATAAGTTATTTACAATGAAAGAGAACACTTTTCACATCTCTGAAATCGGAAGTCTACTGGAAACATTCAAAGATTCAGTATGTGATCACCACTCCAGGTTATCAAAATAAAAAAACTGAGCGAAAACTCCATCAATTTCCATTTCGATAAAGAAAATATTCAGATCAAAACTAGAGCACAGGATAATGCATCATGAGGACGGATAGAAGAGGTATCATATTTTATTATTTTATTTTGGAACATAACTGGCTATTTTATAATTTTATACAACACGATGAATACATGGCACTACGATATAATATGTCTCGTTGAAAGCCATTTAACTACTGAAATCAGAGCTAAGCCTATTTGGATGTCAAGGTATGGAATTGTTTACAGCTCAGCTGTTAGTAGCTATAAACAGGGCAGGGCCTCTGGTGGCTTAGTTTGTTTTTATCATCAGGATAAGTGCTCTGTAAGAACATTACGTAATAATAGAGACAATATTTTTTTGTTAGTCTGTAAAAATAGCTTGAAATAATTATAGACTTTGTTAATATTAATCCTGGTTTAGATATCAACTTATTTTTAGAAAAAATAGAAATTACTATAAATGAGATGAGAGGAGAACATAAAAACATGCCCATTTATTCGGGAGGGGACTTTAATTCTAGAATAAGTAATTTAAACACATGTTCTTCAGAAATTGTTCATGACACTTTCCTCTTGACAAATCGAAAAAATTCAGATAGCTTCGAAAATTTAAGAGGGAAAACATTAACTGAATTTACGGAACTTAATTCCTTTATAGTGTTAAATGGCTGAACTCCCAGTGATCTAACTGGTAATTATAATTACTGTAGCAGTAATGGATCGATGATTTTGTAGATTTTGTCTGGTGTGAAATCGGTGGCTTAGAATTATTATGCGATTTTGGAGTTAAACAAACATTGTCCAATTCTGACAATATTTCCCTTTAGAATTAAAAGTGTCCTGTGGTTCTATCGTGAATAAAAAAAATAACACTTATACAAGAAATCTTATTAAATAGGATGAAAATATATCGGAAATATTTAAAAGTAGTTTAACGATCTCTCCATTAATCACAGTGGACTTTAAAAGCAGTAATGTTGAAGAAGTATACGAAAATTTTATATCCGCTGTTTACAGAACCTCTAAAGAAATTAATATAATGAAAAGTATAACTGAATTTAACAACGGAGAATTAATAGAAATAAGCCTTGGTATGATAGTGAATGAAAGACTGAGCTGAAGAATTCTTTCTCTAAATGTAAGAAAAATAATTTTACAGGTGAATTCTTATTCGATTTTCTAAAATTGAAAAAAAAAAACAGTATAAAAATTTCTTGAAAATGAAAAAAAGAAAATATAATTTAAATACAATTGGTATTCTTGGAACAACTAAGGATAGTTCAACTTTTTGGGGTATCATTTAGGGACGACACCATTTCCAGACGGAACATTTCTATAGAGGAGTGGGAGACGTTTTATAAAATTATGTATCCGTCTAAGTTGTATAAACAGAATTTATTCAATTAAATTATGAAGAATGAGGAGGTGCCTAAATCATGGGCTGAAATTTTGAGCATAATAATATTTAAGAAAGAGGACCGAGGAAACCCACTTAATTATCGAAACATATCTATGGCAAACTGTGCTTCCAAAATTTTTACCCAAATCCTGATAGAGCGAATAACATCAAGGACAGGAGAAACCGGAATTTACTTGAATGCCAATCAGGATTCAGAAATAGGAGAAGCTGCTTAGATAATGTCTTTGTATTAAATGCCGTTATCTAAAACAAATTTTTAAAAGAGAAATCTAACCTTTTCGTTGACTTTCGTCGGACTTTTGACTCCATAAATCACAACCTACTATGGCACAAACTTTTTTCAATAAGTGAAAGGAAAATATTTACTGAAGAAAAATCGAGACTAAATTCAGTTTTCGAAAAAAAAAAATTCAAAGAAAAAAAATGAAGCGAGCTGTCATCGGACGAATATGAAGATAAAATGGTTGTGGAAGAATCTAGGAAGGAAGCATCTTCCGACGAAGATGAAGATAAAATGGTTGTGGAAGAATCTAGGAAGGAAGCATCTACCGACGAAGATGAAGATAAAATGGTTGTGGAGGAATCTAGGAAGGAAGCATCTTCCGACGAAGATGAAGATAAAATGGTTGTGGAAGAATCTAGGAAGGAAGCATCTACCGACGAAGATGAAGATAAAATGGTTGTGGAAGAATCTAGGAAGGAAGCATCTTCCGACGAAGATGAAGATTAAATGGTTGTGGAAGAATCTAGGAAGGAAGCATCTTCCGACGAAGATGAAGATAAAATGGTTGTGGAAGAATCTAGGAAGGAAGCATCTTCCGACGAAGATGAAGATAAAATGGTTGTGGAGGAATCTAGGAAGGAAGCATCTTCCGACGAAGATGAAGATAAAATGGTTGTGGAGAATTAAGGAGCATCTTCGCGAAGATGAGTAAAATGGTTGGGGCTAGGAAGGAAGCATCTTCCGACGAAGATGAAGATAAAATGGTTGTGGAAGAATCTAGGTAGGAAGCATCTTCCGACGACAGCGAGCTGCCATCGGACGACGACCTTGAGACTGAGGTCTCACCCAAGAAAAAAGATATATATAAGAGACCAATGTGGCCAGAACCAATATGGTCAGAACCAATCAGATCTTACCAACCAATCAGATCTTGTTTCTTCTCCAAGAAGAAACAACCAAATATAAATTGTTATATTTGCAAGAGCAAGCTCCTCTACATGTTCTATCATGGAAGATTAACTACTGGGCGCCCGAGATGTTTATCCTGTATACAACATAGAAGACTATTTGAAGTTTAAAAATCTTTTTAATACTGTATAATTGGTTCAATTTTATTGAGTGTACATTCACATTTGTAAAAATTGTTACTTTATTTTTAATAAAAGTATAAAATAAATATTAAGATAATTAATTATTTTTACAAATCCCAAAAATCCAGTATAGTTTTCTGAATACCAGGTGATATTATTTGTCCAATTCAAATTTATATGGACTACTTCTGACAGGTGTGAGTTGAAGAATCAAGTTAAAAAAAAAATAAAAAAATTATATGGACTTATATTAAATAAGACACACAAGATGAGTATTTCAATTTGTGAGTGCTACTTTTGAAATATTTTCATTTATTAATTTTATTATATGAACCTAATACATCTTTCATGTAGAGTAATTGATAGAAACTTATCAATGGTTAAGAAGTGATATCCTGATAACTAATTATATCAATAACAACACTGAGAACAAGAACTGAAAAAATATTGTTGTATTTTGATGTACCTCCTAAGAGACATGAGAACTTGGATTATTTTTAAGATTTTTAAATCCTCTTTCTTCTACTTTACTGTAAAATAGTTCTTTGGCAGGTACAAGAAATAACTCTTAAACCATAGTTATCTTACAAAAATACAAAACGAGTCTTAAAATGTCATGAAAAATATTCTTTCTAATTTAAAATGCTTTTAGAAAGAAAAGAATAATTTTGTTTTAAAGTATTGAATTTTTCTTTTGAGTATGTAAGGAGGAGAAACACAGATAAAATTTATCTGCTTACCATTTTTTTAATAATGATTATATAACACTTTCATTAGTCGAGAAGAAAAAAGGAGTATGTAAGTGTCCCTTCTTTGCAAGAGAAATACTTGGAGGTATGCAATGAGTCAGACTTGTAAGATAGGTTTTAAGCAATAAGTAGTGATTTCAATTTCTTTAAGCATTAATTGTTTGTTTTTCAAACAATAGAACTGCTTATAGATTGAAAACAATCTCTAAAACATATTTCCAACAGTTAAAAAACAACATAAAAATCAATCGTCAATGCTGTACCCAGGAGGTAAAGAACAACTGGTCCATTTTTGTATTTGGCCAGCGAAGCCAATTTTCCACAACTTTGAGCTATTAAAATTTGTTTATTAGTTGCTAAATTATTTAAGAAAAAAATGGACATGGTGTCTTTTACCTCCAGGAAATAGGATGAATAAAATAATTACTCCAAGACGGGAACAGCAAAATATATCTTTTTTCTATCTTTACAATACCACCATCAACATAATCAAAACTCAATTTTATTTTGTGAGAAATCCTCCCCTAATAAATAGAATAATAGAATAAAAATAGAATAATCCTCCCCTCTTCCTTCTCTGGTTGAAATACAGGACATCTTACCCAGGAGCGGAAAAAAAATTATCCTGAAAATCAGCTAACAGGTGTCACGAGAACAGAAAAACTAAGATCACATCATTCAAGGACATGTGTTTTGATGTGATACTGCGAGTAAGATTTTTCAAGTATAATTTCATATCTAATTCTGTCTCTTGTTCAGAATTCAACTCATTTATATCAACTGTAAAAATAATAAAAACATAAATTCTATAGCAATGGGTATCTTGATATTGAAATTCTAAATAAATTCTATGGCAATGGGTATCTTGATATTGAAATTCTAAATAAATTCTATAGCAATGGGTATCTTGATATTGAAATTCTAAATAAATTCTATAGCAATGGGTATCTTGATATTTAAATTCTAAATAAATTTGATTAAAAAAATAAATAAAAATTGAGGAACACTCTGATTAGCCTGCTAACAGGACCTCATCTGAGGACCCAATATCTTTCCCCTGCCTTCTTCCTCCTTCTGTTTGTTTGTTAGAATTGGGAGGAGATGAAAGGATTGCCGAACACGTTGGGACGTGGATCCCAGAGTGCTCGGTTCTGAATGTTTTGAGTTCGATTCCTACCTGGGTCGGATACTTTTCATTTCTCGGTGTCCTCGGGAAATGAATCGTGACCTCAGGGGTTGAAATAAAGGACCACGATAAGGTCCACTTGCCTGCCGCTCTAGTTCCTGGCTAAGTTAGCAGTGCAAGTACCAGTTGAAATGGAAGGAAGATATTTCTTTTTACAATTTTCTTTAAATGCTTAAACAATTTTTTCTTACTCATGAATCATTTTCTGAAGCAATTCAAGCATCTCCTAGCTTTTATCAATTCCAAAATTTTGCTGTCTACCCTACATTTTTTTTTTCTCTCCTACTTCACACAGCAATAAAAATACCTCATTCTGCCATACATACTGATACAAAAGTTGAACTTTGTTTAGATCCTTGGGTATTATTTAGATAATCCTTACCTCTATCAGATTATTTTCTGATAATAATTCCAATTAGTTTATATTTTTCTTTCACTCAGTTAACATGGGGAGAAGTGGGAGGGGAAACAAAATCACCTTACACAAAGTTGGAAAATGAAGGTCAGAGATTTTTAACACTTTGAAACCTTTGGGTATCAGCCATATGTTGATGCACCGTACTGTAAATAGATATAATGAGACCCTATCTGTATGTGACAGACCTCATCCGGGCTGTCCTCACACTGTGAGAACGGAAAATGCAGTGAGAGCAGTGGCTGCTCGAATCAGAAGAAATTCCATTCATAAATAACAAATCATGTCTCGGGAAATGGGAATCTCTCTCAGATCAATGTGTCGCATAGTAAAAAGTGACCTTAGGATAGCTGCATTTCAAAGAATGACCGGAAAAAGGCTAATCACTTCTCTAAAAAAAATTAGAGTGGGTAGATGCAAAGTACTCCTTGGCTGCTACACCAATGTTATTCATCGAAAGATTTTGTTTATCGATGAGAAAATTTTTTCAATGAAAGGAAAATTTAATCGCTAAAATGATCGTGCGTACCCACACAGCTCTAAAGGAGTCCAGGAAGTCATTGGAAGAGTAGAAAGAGGTCATCACCCTTCCTCAGTGATCGTTTGGTTGGGAGTTTGTTTTGATGTTAAGCAAAGCTCCGTTTTTGAGAAAAAGGAGTTAAAACAGCTGCTAAAAACAATCAGGGTGATATTTTGGAACCTGTTGTCAGGCCTCTAAATGATACCCTATTTGCTGGAAGTAATTAGGTTTTCTAGAAGGATTGCGCTCCAACTCACAAGCCCAGGTTAACTCAGCAGTGGATGCAAAAGAACATCATAATTCATCTCTGCCTCGGATTGGCCCTCAGGAAGCCCTAACCTCAAACCACTAGATTATCCGCTTTGGTCCGAACTGGAGAAGATGGCATGTCACAGAGCACACCCTAAACTTGAAAATCCTCAAACAATCTCTGGTCAGAGCAGTTGAGCGCTTTCCTCAAGAAGTGCTGTGTGCTGCTATTGACGACTGGCCACGGAGATTAAATGCCTGTGTCAAAGCAAAAGGGTGACATTTTGAGTAATTTCTTTTTTTTTCGTTTTATTCTCTATAGATATACATTTTACTTTCTAATAAACTTTTTGAAAAATTAATTTTTCTGTTGAAATATAATTTGTAATTCTGTTAAAATATAAATATTGTTCCTTGAAACAATATTTATGAGAGGACTAGATATATGGTAGTAATGCAATACTGTGCTAAAGAATACACTTATGCCATTGCTAAATCTCAATTGATTCTTAATAAGATCAAATTTTTCTATATTAGTCTTTGCTTTTATAATTATTACGAATCTACTTAAATGTTTATTTATGTAAAAATTTATTTTTCTTTATATAGTTATTTTAATTAATATTTCTGAGATAGTTTTGCTCATAAAATCTGCATGAGTTTCAATTTTATCACAAATATGACAGGAATACTAATTAACCTAACTATTTAAGTTCAGGGTGGTGATTCGTTGTGCTGCGACCTCTGGAGCTTAGTCCTGATGAAAAGGCAACCCAAGTTGGAACGCCAATAAAAGTAAGAGCAAGTACAAAATTGTATATTTTATTTTAGTAACTTTTATTTTATTTTAGTAACTTCGTACAGAAACGATATATTATGAAAAATAAACAGTAGAATTAAACAACTAAAGCAAATCCAACTTCAATTCCCAATCCTTTAACTCCTTCCTTACCTCCCTCTGTGATCACGACAACTCCCTCTGGAATATCACAAAAAAAATCCTAAAAACCCATAATATTTCCCATCCCCTCCGTCGAGGTGATGGCTCCTGGGCGGCGTCTGATGAAGACAAAGCTGAGGAATTCGCCAAACACCTTTCCAGTACATTTACTCCTCATCCCGAATCAAATCCGACCCACACTACAATAGTAGAAGAATTCCTTTCTTCACCAATTCCACTGTCTTTACTACCAAAAGCAGTTCAACCATCTGAGGTCAAATATCATTTACAAAAACTATCTTCCCGCAAATCTCCTGGATACGACCTTCTAACCCCACAGATCCTTCATCAACTACAACCCAAAGCAATCATATTCCTCACCTACATATACAACTGCATCCTAAGAACTACCCATTTTCCTCTCTTATGGAAACATTCCACCATCATCCTTTTCTTGAAACCTGGCAAACCTTCCAATAATACATCATCATATAGACCAATTAGCCTACTCCCAATCCTTTCCAAAATTTTTGAAAAAATCCTACTGAAAAGAATCCAACCCATAATAGAATCCCAAAACCTTCCAACCCACCAATTCGGATTTCGCTTCCAACATTCCACTGTCCAACAAGGACTCCGACTTGTAGACCACATATCCTCAGCCCTAGAAAGTATTGTTCTGGGGCATTCGTGGACATTGCGCAAGCTTTTGATCGGGTATGGCAAGCCGGACTGCTCTTCAAGCTCAAATCCCATCTACCCCATTCCTTATATCTTATCCTCCGATCCTACCTCTCTGACCGCTTCTTTCAAGTTCGCTATGGTACAGAATCCTCCAACTGTCATTCAATCAAGGCAGGAGTTCCTCAAGGCAGCGTCTTGGGTCCCGTCCTCTACATTCTGTTTACCGCTGATATTCCTACTCATCCTGAAACACTCCTGGCAATATTCGCTGATGACACAGCCATCTTATCTTCCAATTCAGATCCTGAAATAGCATCCTTAAACCTAGAAAGTCACCTCTCTCTTATTGAACACTGGTGTAATAAGTGGCGAATCCAAGTAAATGAATCCAAATCCAAACACATTACCTTCACACTCCACCGCAGATCCTGTCCATCAGTCCACTTTAATTCCATACCACTTCCTCTGTCCGACACAGTCCGGTATCTTGGCTTTATTCTAGACAAAAGACTAACGTGGAACCCACACACCAGACTTAAAAGACAACAACTTAACAGACGATACGGACAACTATATAGACTATTGAATAGAAAATCTCAACTTTCAGTCGACAACAAACTATTAATCTACAAGACAATCCTGAAACCTATTTGGACCTACGGAATAGAACTGTGGGGAACAGCAAAACATTTTAACATCAAACGCATTCAATCCTTCCAGTCTAAAATCCTCCGAACAATAGCCGATGCTCCCTTCTATGTATCCAACAAAACCCTCTATAATGACCTTCATATCCCATTTGTTATTGACCTAATCCCAGAAAAATTTTCCAAATTTCACCAGAAACTCACTCATCATCCAAATCCTGTAGCACAATCCCTATCTAGCTCCCGCCATCCCTACAATCCTCCCCGGAGGTTAAAACGGCAGTGGCCCCGCGACCTTTTGTAATATGTATATATTGGAGTACTGGCAATGGTCAGATTCTCCACTCAAGACATGAGCGTCTGTTGCTATAGTGCCCTCCATCAGTTTCCACTGGTTTCAAATAACAGTGACGCGGCTGAGAGAGAATCACTGGAATCTCCTGTAGTTCTGCCTTGGCTTCCACGTCGGGGAATAAGGCATGACTCAGAATCCCCTGGGTGAATGTAAATATTGTACATAGGTGTGGATGTGATTTATTTACTTTAATTTCATCTAGCTTTTATCTATTATTTCATTTTTTTTTTGTACACAGGCATACCAATTTACTTATTTTATTTTATTTTATATTTCTTTTTCTTTATTATTGATATTAATTGTATGTACATATTGTGTGAATGAATCATGTAGCCTTAATATTAATGCCCTTCAATGTGGCAGAATGTATTAATATTCAATAAAGAAAGTTAAGTTAAAAAAAAACGAAAAAAAAAACAGTAGATTATTTGAAAATATATATTTCATAGGATTTGATATACACTGAAATGACCGAGCTGGTATTCAACAGCCCCTTCAATGTCTTAGGCAACCATACCCGCACTACTGCTCAGCCAAGCCAAAATATCTATCTTCGCCTGTATTACATAATGTGGTTATCAGTCATTTTTTTTTTGGTCTATTCTTCATTCGCACCTGTCATGGTAATGACAATTAGCAGATTTGTTGTTAGGTAGAAAATGGCACGATAGGCATGACGAAAAACGGAACCCAGCAGCACCTCTTCCCTGGTCTGTTTACATCCTAAAATCAGGAAAGGAGATCTCTCATCCAGCTCCTTTTCAGTCGCCTCCTGATGAGCATTTCAGCCGTGGCCATATCGTTGATAAGTCCATTGTGATGTCCGTGTAGTTTAAGATGAAATCCGGAGTAGAGAGTACGTATGTGCTGATCAATGGTTGGTTGTCTTAGGTCGGTATGTAAAGTCTTATTGTTGACGTACCAGGGAGCTGCAGTTATTAGTCTTAAAATATTAGATTGAAAGGATTGTAGTTTTTATAAGTGAGTCTTTATTACTGGGCCGTAAATCTGTGAGGCGTATGACCAAATGGGTTTGAGTAGGTAAGTGTATGTATTTAGTTTTTGTCAAATTTTCAATTTTGATTTAGAAAAAAAGTGAGTATAGTATATTCAGTCGCTTGTTCAATGTCTTCTTCTTTTCATTTTGATGTGTGGGCCCCAGGTCATCCTGTCAAATATTAGTCCTAGATAGCGTATACTGTCCGTTTGAGGAATTGGATTGTTGCTGATATAAACTTGTGGGCATGTTTCTCGTCAAAGCGTAAATGTTATGCGTTGTGTTTTGTTATGATTTAATCTAATTTTCCAAAGTGAATACTAATTTTGGAAAATTTAGTAAATGATTTTGTAAATTTGATGAGGCTAGTCCCCGGGGTCATGGTGTTTTGTTAAAATTGTTGTATCGTCAGCGTAAGTAGCAGTCAATGTTTCAGAGGTGGTAGGCATGTCATGAGTATAGTCAATGTAGAGTACAGGTGCCAATACTCAGCCTTGAGGCACCCCTGCTGATACAGGTCGCATTGAGGAAATTTCTAAACCCTGTCGGACAGAGAAGAATCTGTCGAAAAAGAAAAACTGGAGAATGAGATAGTATGTATAAGGTAGTATAGTGTTGAGTTTAAAGAGAAGTTCCTGGTGCCAGACTTTATCAAATGCCTTCGCAAATCCCAGAAACACACCGGTAGCATATTGTTTTTTCTGTAGCGTTCAAGCAATATAATCAGTAATTCTAAGTAATTGGTGTGTAGTTGAATGAAATGTACGAAAACCGAATTGATAGTCAGGTATTATTTGTGGTCTGTCAGTATGTCAACCAGTCTTTTGTATATTAATTTTTCGAAAACTTTGGAGCATATCGGAAGGAGACAGATAGGTCGACAGGACAAGGGATTGAAAATGCCTTTGTCCCTTTTGTGTATCATCTTGATATGTGAGTATTTCCATTGTAATGGGAAGTTAGTTGTCCTTAGAATACAGTTGTATATTGTCGTAAGGAACACTAGAGCTTTCCTAGACATTTGCTGGAGGCCCTCGGCAGTTATTAAGTCATAACCTGGAGCTTTTCTTTTTGGGAGATGTCTGATTTGTTGTGCAACTTGAGAAGGAGTGAACGGGAGAGGGGAAGGTGTCATCTGTAATGGTATGTCTAGAGTATTAAATACTAAGGTTTCATGTTCTGTGTTCGTGTAGTCAGTAAATGGTGTGAATACTGATGCGAGATAGTCTGCAAATAGTTCAGATTTTTCTCTATCCGACAAAGCCCATGAACCGTCTTCGTTTCGCAGAGGTACTGACATCTCTCGATGTTTTAACAAATTTTTGGTATGCTTCCACATCTTCCATCGTCAGTTCATATAATCAAAGAACATCAGATGCTCAAATGAACATCATTCTATTGAACATTCTATTGAATTTTTGTATAAGTCGTTTAAGTTAGTTATTGAGTCTGTTAAACGTCAGTCTATCTGAGGGAAGTCTGTTAGTCTGCCATACCTTACGTGCTCTCCTCTTTGCCGTGATCAAGTCCCTTATATATTGAGGATATCTTGGCAAGTGTTCTGCTCTTGATGACCTTGGTAGCGATGAAGATCAAGCTGCTTTTTGGACACTTTTTGTAAATTTGTCCACTGCCTCTTCTAGTTCATCCGCTGTTTTAATGGAACCATGGAGTGAAAGTTCTGAATCCAGAATTGTCCTGTAAGCATCCCAATCCATTTTAACATTAAGGAGCTAAGATGTTCGTGGGAGATTGATGGGCTCATCAAGGATAACCAAA